AAAGATACCCAACCAACTCCCCCCCCAAAAAAAACACCCCAAAACAAACAAACAAAACAAAAACAACAACAACAACAACAACAACAAACAACAAATAAAACGAACAAAACAGCTTGAGTTCGATTCATGAACAATTACATTAAAATTTGTTTTTTTTACTATCGAAAACATGTACATGTACATGCACTTACAACTAGTTGGGGATATATGTATCCAATTAGATTGGCTGGCCCTGAAAGCAGTCCGCCTTCTAAATGACCTACCCGGTGCCGATGCGGGCGTTTAAGTTAAACATTATTATACAAATTTAGCAGAAAAAGTGTGATGATAGTAATGAACAAAAATGACTGTCATTACAAGGAATGAAAAAACACCCAACTCAACCTCGAATAGAAAAAACAAAACCAAACAAAAATAAAAAACCACAAAACCAACTTACATTCCAAACGACTTTGCGTAGTCTCCCAACATCATGCCACCATACGACAAGTAGCCCAGATCCGCTTCCGTTGACGTCATCTGGAACGTTGGGAAGGCTGTGTTGGTCTTGTTTGCTTCAAATCTAGAACCCAACAGACCCTGGGGAAATCTCTGTGGAGAAATACATTTTGTTTTCGAATAAGAGCATCATTGCCATGTTAGGCACTGGCACAGCATTTTTGAAGGCAATGTATTGCCTGTATTTTATTTATTTGATTGATTGATTGGTTGACTGCTTGCTTGCTTACTTGCTTGCTTGCTTGCTTGCTCGATTGATCAGCAAATGTGGTACTTCTTTTGGGAGGGTGGGGGTTTTCATTTGTTAAAATCTGATCTACTTGAATGGATCGTCGATCGCAAAATTGGAACAACAGAAGACCTGGCAATATATAAATAGATAGTGTCATGTTCCAAGACATGACCAAAAAATAACTAAATCGTCTAAATGAGATAGTAACACACCTACATTAAAATTTCAAAATGGAAATAATTCCCTGTCAAGCAGGTTCGAAACCGGTCAAATGTCTAACTATTTGTTTGTTTGATAGAGTAATATACTTCCAGCAGTACTCTCTCATCGAGACAATTCAATTTTAGAAATTGTTTGTGCCTTTTCTTGGTACATAATACTGTCTGTTTTTATATTAACGATAAAAGAAAAATCTGTTTTGAGGTGAAGTGTATTTAGAAGAAGAGAAGGCTTTAAGCTTGTTTAGGATTTACAGGACCAAGGACATCTCGCTCCAGACAAAACTGAGGATTTTCAACTCAAATGGGAAATAAATCAGACTTGTCATAATGTGGGTGTGAGTCGTGGAACGTATATCAGACTTGCATGAAGAGGTTCCAGATTTTCCTGAACAAGCCGGTTCTATCTGTTTCGTAACCAACTTACCTTTAAGAAATATGACGCCAAATATTTTGAGTTTCACAGCATCTCAAGCTTTTTGGAATGCAATTCTTTGAATATCTTGACAAAGACTTCGAACAGTCTTACGATTTTGATAGAGCAGATATGATGATGATGATGATGATGATGATGATGATGATGATGATGATGATGATGATAATGATGATGATGATGATGATGAATTACAACGACGATGCATCCCACCCACATACTTGAATAAAAATGACAACACCAGGATATTCCGGGTACGTCCTGACTTCTGCCACCATAGACACGCCGCCAGCCGCCATCTTCAGGGATCTAGAGTTGTACTGGGATAGTTCATCCTTGCCTGGAGGCCACATACACATTTCAGATAAAAAATGATAGCGGGAAAAGGAGAGGGAGGGAGGGGGGAGTGGGGAGACGGGTGTGAGTGGGACATGGAGTGATTATTATTTAGCAGGCAAGCAAGATTATGACAGTACATGTATAATAGTAATTTCAAAGCAAAACGTGAGAAGACATATTCTTTTTATCATACTGGATTGGCCTCTGCGCTCAAGAGATTGAGGTCTTCTTCGTAGTACGCAGAAGACTTGAAATTGTTAGTTCGAGTTTATTCTTCGTCTGACAACTCGCAACCTGAGAATTACAAAGTTTTATCTGCTCAGTATCTTGTTTTGAGAAATTTGAGGTTTCAGAGTATGTAAAGCTTTTTCGAAAGCAGTCCTTCGAAAATCTTGAAAGCTACTCCAAATACTCTGGCAAATTAGATAGATCAGATGGAGCATTTTGCTTTCTGACCTCATGGTCTTTGTAACTAAAAACGGCCAAAAGTGCCAAATAGAACTTTGTAATTCTGAGGTAGCGAACTGGTATGTTGAATAATATTCAATCTAGATTGGCCTGGGCACGGCACACGCAGGGCGGAAGCCAGCCTCCCAAATGATCTAGATTGTACTGATTTGAGAAACACAATGAAGGACAACCTGTGTCTGGGTATAACAGCTGGGCACTTTTCAGTCTCACACAGGAGACCTCAGCTCGATTCTCGTGCAGGGGAGATTGTTTTCGTAGATTTTGTTCTGCTGGGATGTTGTATCCTTCTCAGCCCAGATCAGTCCTTACAGACAGGGTTGAAGCCACCCCCTTCCCTTCTAAATGTTCAAATTGGTTGTGTTTATGGGGGGCGGGTGGGGGGGGGTTAAAACACCTGCACTTAAAGAAATATATTGGAACCTGATCTAATGGCCATCTGTAGCATATTAATCCTCCCCCCCCCAAAAAAAAAGCAACAAAAACAACAAAACAACAACAACAAACAAACAAACAAACCAACAACAACTATTTAGTGACATTTTAAACTGTCGACCTGTTTAATAGGGGATGCCCACTACGGCTGGGATCGCCTCAAAAACAAACGTGTTAGTTTTCAGTTTCGGGCGATCGAGTCGGGCGATCGGCCCCATCCAGCCATAGTGGGCACCCCGTATAAGACAACCACTTTTCGCCGTTGACGATTTCAAGACGGTGGGAGATTATACAAAGTCATTTAGAATGTAAGGGTTTCTTTTTGTTGTTTTGTCTGTGTGGGCTGAGTATAATTTGGTAAAATCACATACCGGCACTGATAGTGACTGGGCCTGTGAAGTTGAGGGTGCCATCATCGGTTGACCGCCATTTTGAATCAAACAGGAAGGAGAAAGGGCCGCCCTTCAGCCATGGGGAATCCCCGGACGGTCCCAGAGTGTAGGCTCCGACATTGTCTATGGTAATCTGGCCTGTGAGAGGGAAGATGGTGCGACATACAGATGTTTGTGTGAATGTCTGTGTGTGTGTGTGTGTGTGTGTGTGTGTGTGTGT